CTTTTTCAAAGCTTTATTTGAACATTTACATTAGATATTTCAACATGCTATTAAACTGTTGTCAGTCAAGTTGTTGGTAATGTTATTGTTTTAGTGATTATGCAAACAAAAAGTCATTTATTTGTTGTTTCTTTATTTTTAAATATAAAACTTGAAGTGATTTATGTGTCGTTACTTTTTTAACATCTCCAGCACATTTGAACAATACCGTGATAATACTGATAACTAAGTCATTTTAGCGATCAGAAATTACTCTCCTAATTATTGATATCAGGAATACATTTCTAGATATCAGAATTGACAAATGCAACATGTTAAAATACATTTACAGATATCAAGAATTAACATTTCAACTAGTGACAAATGAATTCTTGATATCAGGAATTCACTTTTTTACTAGTAACAATGTAATTATTGATATAAAAAATAAAGGCTTTTACTAGTAATAATTTTATTTCTGATATGTGCAATTGGAATTTTAACTAGTAAGAAATCAATTCTTGATATCAACAATTGAATGGCAGCCTAACTAGTGAAAATACAATTACAGATATCAAGAATTATATTTTTTACTAGTTGAAATCCAATTCCCGATATCAAGAATTAGCATTTTAACTATAGAAAACTTAATTGTTGATATCAAGAATTTTTATCCTGTGAAGGAATAAAAGTCTAAACGGCTTGCCATACAGTTACTGAGGTGTTGTCATTCACACATACAGCTGCTCTAGAAAGAACAGGTCCAGACACAACACCTTTATTCTTATTCAGAACACTGTAGACTGTGTGGTGAATAAATGCTTTGGTTTATTAACATTTAACCAATAGATCACGCAGAACTGAGCCATTTACAGGTGTTACATGGACATGTCTTTCATCCTCAAACACATTTACATTTATTCTTATTTAGAAGCAGATGGAGATGACTAGAGTGGAAGGAGAACACTATAAACCTATCCTGACAGGCATGAGAAGTCATAAATACAGTCGTAAATTCACATCTGTCCAGTACAGGGCTGTCAGCTGCTGTCATGTCAATCAGGAGTGGCGGGACCCTAATGACATGTGATTCATGATTGACATATATATATATATATATATATATATATATATATATATATACTGTATATATAGTCATAAATCATCAGATTGACACATATGACTGCTTGAAGTGTTTGCATTGCTGAAACTATGTCAGAAACGTGACTGACTGTCTCTCTCTTACATGCAGGACTGACTTTAAAATAATGATACAATGTGATGATTGTTTTCAACAAGCAACTGCATGCTAGATCTTAAAATAGAGCCTCAGTGTAAATGATGCATGATGCATAGTTTTACAAATGGTCAATTAAAAAAAATGTAAAAACTAGTGAGTATGAAGTTTGCTCTAGCGGACTACTTCACTCAGGCTCTAATGTAAACTGTCCAAACCATCTATTTTCTGCTGTATTTGGGGTGAAATGCTCATCATGAATGTCAATGGATCAGCGAGAATCATCTCACACATTGGGCTTCATTAACATGGAGACCAGAGGAGCACCGGGAGCTCCTGCTTTGTTAATGACTGCAAATGTTCAGGATGTGCTGTGTTCAGTCTGACTCCCAGGTGTTGTGCGATTGTTGTTGTGAGAAGGTCTTTAACACATTTGGAGTGATTGTCACTACAACTGTGAGTTTTGAAGAAAAATAAATAAATAAGGGCAAACCTTTTTCTTATTTTGTAACCCATTCCAGTGGATGCAGACAATGCATTAAACAAAACACTGAACAATCGAGTCAACGAAGCTGCTGTGAAGTGAATATAAGATAAATATAAATCAATGCACTGTAAATCAAATGTTTGACTTTTCATAATTTATGGATGGATGTGTCCAACTCCTGAAACAAACAGACTCCTTTGCCTCTTCTTCTTTTGGTCATTGTTTGAGTTTAAGTCAAGACTCAGTCGCACTCCTGTCGGTCACTGTCTTGTTGACATCACAAGACCAGCCACAAATGTTAAAAGAAGTGTACGAAATATAAAAATAAATAAATGGTAAATATAAGAATAAACTAATTACATAAATAAGTTCGATAAATAAATAATAAATGAATATATCTCACAGTACAATACCGAGTAAAAAAAACAGTAATGTAACAATAGATTTTATACGCACATATAACTGTCTTTTATAGTCCAGTGTTGTATTTGTTTAAGCAAACACTGCGTTGATCTCTATCATAATGCGCAGCCTCGGACTGTTTGCATTCACAAAGACCCAGATCTTCAGTCAGCCACTCCCACAGCCATCCAACACACTCACACACGCACGCACGCACGCACACACACACACACAGGTTTGTTTTTATGGTTTATGGAGACTCTCCATAGGCGTCAGTATTTTGCACTATTTTCATGTTGTGGAGACAAAACCCAGGAAATATTATAATAAGGATAATAATAAGTATTAGAGTTGTGATAAAATGAGCCTTTAGCATATACATGATGATATAAAATTGATATTAAATAGGGGTCACTTTTATTTCTTATTTCACTTTTCTTGTCAATTTAATTGATTGTTTTTTTGAAAAAGTACATTTCATTTGTTCCTTTCAGACCTGATGGAAGTGGAAGAGGAAACCGAAGAACAGAGTGAACTTGAAGAAGAAAGTGAAGAACTGAGTGACGCTGAAGAGGAAAGTGAAGAACTGCATGAAAAATCTTCTAAAAAGAATGTGTCACAAAAAAGAACTCAGAGAACTGGAGCTAGAAAGTCGTGCACCTGCGGTCAGTGTGGAAGGAGTTTCACATGTAAGGGAAGCCTGAAGGATCACATGAGAATTCACACTGGAGAGAGACCTTTCACATGCAAGTACTGTGGAAATGGGTTTAAACAAAGAGCAAGCCTTACAGAACACATAAGAATCCACACTGGAGAGAAGCCGTTCAAGTGCAATCAGTGTGAGAGGAGTTTTCGACAAAAAGGAGGCCTTACAGGTCACATGAGAGTTCACACTCAAGAGAAGCCTTTTACATGCCAGCAGTGCGGGAAAACTTTTGCAATCAGCGGAAACTTTCAGACTCACTTAAAAACTCACTCTAATCAGAAGGCATTCATCTGTCCTCAGTGTGGGAAAGGTTTTAATTTGCTAGAAAGCCTGAAAAAGCATGAGCTCGTTCACAGTGAAGTGAAGCCGTATCACTGCGCTCCATGCGGGAGAAGTTTCAGCCAAATGACCGAACTTAAAAGACATTTAAAGTCCTTCATGCATAATAAATACCTGCCGCTAGAGAAATTCATGCTTCAGAGTGGCTCCTCAGCTCATGGCTTGCCCTCAGGAGTGAATATGTCATTCACTAAAACACACCTCCTGCAGTGAAATTTTTGATAAAGCCTGTAGAAGGGGGATGAATGTATTAAACACATAATTAAAACATGTCTATTGCAGTAAACGGATGGTTTAAAATTCAGGAATAACAACATTTTTAAATGAATAAAATTACAATTGTATGTTACCATTCAATTACAAGGTCTGTCTCTTATTTCTACACCTTAAAGGTATCATATCGATGACAAGTTCAGTATGGAGTACCACAAGGCTCAGTACTAGGACCGTTTCTTTTCACCCAGTGCATGTTACCCTTGGGAGATATCATTAGGAAACATGGTGTTAACGTTCACTGCCTTTAAATTCTGCAAATTTTATCTCGAAATACAAACAATAAATGTGTTTTTACGCTGTTTAATGTGCCGTGAGGTCACTGTATTCAGCACCTCTTTTTAAGATAAGAGATAAGAGAGATAAGAGAACTTTGTCACTGTACATGTACAATGAAATTCTGGTGGAGCAAACTCCAGGTGCCTTCTTGATACATTGATTTACAGCACAAAATAATCATAAATGAACGTTAGAAGGCATGTTGATGCAAATCAGAATAATTCAATTACATGAATGTTTAATGTAATTGATCAATCACATGATTCAAAAAAGTAAAACTTGTGAATAAAGCTTGTGAATTGCCATAACAGTCTCAACATAACATATACCTCAGAAAACAACAATATAAATTTGACAACATTGTTTTATTTTCATAAATCAGTTAACCGAGTTGAAGCTACTTCAACCTTTAGAATGTTTGTATTGCTGTTTTACTTGTTAAATACAGACGATTTTATAGACGTTCAGGTCTGACTGGACCGATTTTGGACCTTTTTAGAACATTGGTCAAATTCAGATGTGCCTTTCACGATGTTGCACAATGGGTGTGTGATTATTTTATATGCAGGCTTATACTTAAATTATGCAGCAACACATCTTATAAACATCCAGAAGATGACACATTTAGACGTCCAGGGACGCGCAGAAAAGATGTGTAATTCACGTCCAGGGACGTGCAGAAAAGACGTGTAATTCACGGACAGAAGACGTCAAAGACGTCGGTTCAATTTTCATTTTGGATATATTTTTCAACCATGACGGGACGTGTCGGAGGGACGTCTTTTCAACGGTCATTAAACGTCCAAATGTTTGCTGGGTACTCACTAATTTTAGTTTCTCTGATGGTTTCTTTTGGCAATTTCATCCACAGTTTCCTTGGTGTTTAATGTGTATTCTCAATGGAAAGAATGGATAGTTTCAATATTCTGTTCTGCGCTGTGGTGCTCCGCAAATTGTTTTTTTATTAGCTTCAGTTTTGAAAATGAGCGCTTCCCTGAAGTTACAGTAACAGAAGAGAAATAAAACGAGAGAGAATTTAAATGGTGCAGATGTCGCTGAAGCTAGATGTGACAGAGTTGTGATACTAGCTAGCTACCAACCTCACACAGTTTTTATTATTATTATTATTATTATTATTATTTGGCCACGGCTATGCAGCATGTTCACGTAGTTAAAAAAATTATGCCGTTCTACGGCAGCAATGTAACAAATGCACACAATAAGTTATGGAGCCCAGCATAAGACTATCAGTAATCACGTGGTTACTAGTGCAAATGTCTATTCTTGATAACGATTACCAGTTTGACGGTAAATCATGATAAAATTCCCCACGGTTAGTATTACAGTTTCATCTTTTAATTATCATTAAAACCGTATTAGATTACCGCGATTTGAAGAACTCGCGATAAATAAATACTGTCCAGCACAGTTTTCAGTAAGAGTCTCACGTGCGCACAGCAGCAGAGTAGTTTAGTTTTCAGTGAAAACAAGGCGGAAAAGCTGGGAGGTTTTAAAAGAGTGCTAAGGGAATTATACAAATGAATATATGAATGAATTAATTATATGAATGTACCTCTGAAGGTTCTGACTGTCTTCAGAAACGATTCGATGGCGTTTTGTTTTCATCTTCGCTCCATGTAATACCTAAAGGAAGTGTTCTTAATCGCAATACTGCTTTGTCCATGAAGGTTACGGGAAACAGCTCTAATTCAGCTTTTCCAT